TATTCATTCTCTTTCTTATTCTTTCCCCCTCCTTTGTCTACTCTTTATTGAAATGTGTCAATAAATGTTTCATTCAGATATTGTTCAATGTAAGTATAAGTGCAACCATTTCCTATGTAATACTCTCACCAATTTTTCCTTTTTCTTATTAATCCTCCCATATTGCCAGAGAAAAGAGGATACTTTTCAAGAATTTCATCTTTCTTCATCTTATCATCATAATGTTTATGTTGTAATCCTGAAAACAAAAAGGAAGACATACCAGTGCATGGTCTCACATTTCTCAGTTTCATGACTTTTTACATACAAGGCAACAATGCAAATATTATTGCAAAACTTACTGCAAATATAAATGGTATAGCACTGACATAAAGACAAATGAATAGAACTGAGAATTAAAACTAAATGAATAGATGATGGATGGATGAATGGATGGATAGAGATTGACAAATGGATGATAGATAGATAGATAGATAGATAGATAGATAGATAGATAGATAGATAGGATGGCTAAAGTAATTGCAATAAAATAAGTTTTTATCAAATATTACTCAATTGGATAATCATATGATAAATGGTATTTGATCCTTATGTAATCCCATATATAAATATTAACTCAAAATCAACATCCAAATGTAAGAACTTAGAGTCCAAAACTTGTAGATGACATGAATCTTCATGAATATGAAGTTGGCAATGAATTATTGTCTATAACACCAGAAGTAAAAGCAACAAATATAAATTATATTTCATCAAAATTAAGAGTTTGTGAAAATTTTCATGAAAGCTAAAAACCAGCCTAGGTAATGATAACATGATAGAACTTGAGGTGATTTTGCTTAGTGAAAGAAGCCAGAAATTGAAAAATAAATGAGTTAGTTTCTGTAATATGTGGAATATAACTAACCAAAGCAAATGAAAATGTCAAAACAAAAATAACTTTTTAAATTATTTTTTAAATTTTTTTACATTGTGTCATGTGGGATCCTCCCTGGCAGCCGGGGATCAAACCGGTGCTGCAGGCAGCTTCGCAGCCCAGCACTCAACCACTGCGCCACTGCGGAGGCGCCATCATTGTTCATTTTTAAACAATATTTGCCCCCCCTCAGGTGTAGTCCCCATAGAGTTTCCTTCCCCAATGCACCCATGCACCTTCACCTCAGCCCCCTGTGCTCCTCCCTCCCTCCCTCTGATCCCTCTCCCGCCTCCTCCCCTGCAGGATGTCTCTGATTTATAATTGCCTCTTTTTGCTTTGTTGTGTTTTGTACTGTTATTATTTTTTTACACTGATGTCTTATTTGGTTCCCCTGTATTCCTGCTTTAAGTGAAACCATCCGATGTTTTTCTTTATCCTTCTGACTTTTTTCCACTGAGCATAATTCCTTCTAGCTCCATCCATGTTGCTATGAATGACATGAGCTTATCTTTTTTGATTGCTGAATAATATTCCATTGTGTATATATGCCACATCTTTTTGATTCAGTCATCTATTTTTAGGTATTTGGATTGTTTCCAGGTTTTACCTATTGTAAATAGTGCTGCAATAAACATAGTGGTACAGGTGTTCTTTTGAATCAATGTATTTGAAAAATAACTCTTTCTTCATAAAATATTTTGGTTACCAAAGGACCGGAGGGTCAATCTGCTAGTGGAAATGCATTAGATTTTGGAGGTGAATGCATTAAATGCATTTTGAAAATTTAGGAAAGATATGGTATGTCTGTTGACCTGTAAGGCAATCCTGCCTAAAGGGTTAAAATGCATTTCAAGGTGTGAAGCCATGTTCTGAAGGTTTATAGAGTACTGCTAACTAATGGTACATCAATAAGATTTTATTAAAGAAAAAAAGAACCTGTTGAAGATAGTTGTTCATATGTCTGAATGTGCTAAAATACCATTGAATTGTACACTTTAAATAGGCATATTGTATAAGATGTAAATTCTAACTCAACAGAAAGCTATTTGAAAAATATTCCTTTGAAATCAGAATGTTTCTAATGAATTGGTAACCTTTAGTGATGGTAGCTCGTCATGTTTGGTAAAGAAAATACTTGTTATCCTAAAGATAGGGTCCATAATCTTATATTTTTTACTGCTTTTTATTCAAGAATGATTACCTTGATTCTCATCCCCTAATTCTGTATTTGTCAAAGAACTATGTCCTTATTTATGCACTTGGATGAAAACACTAATATTGATTACTCTCCTAGGGTTTATTTATTATATCAACAGTAATACTGCAACAGGGGCTATTAAATGAAATAAATTATACATATACATGAAAACAGGAAATATACATATGCATATACTGGAAATATAAAAATATAATATTTCTTCTCTTAAAATTGATATATTTGAGGAATAAAAACAGGAAGAAAAGCAATATGATGTGCATTAAGAAAGGTTAAAAACAATGCTTCCTAATTTAGTACATACACTGGTAGATAATCACATTTTAAATTAGTAAAATGTAATTCATTCACTCAATTATTCTAAGAATTCTTCTGTGCATATATTTGACCACATGTAGTCAATATTGTGAAGGGAAGTTATTTGGTTAATGAGTGTATTTTATGTATTTATGGTGCTATTTCATAGAGATGTACATAAAATGTTTGAGATTCACAATCAGTTTTAGTCCTCATTATAGAAACTAGCAATCTGGGGTATGAAGCACAAGCTCTAATTGAAGATTTTTTTTCTTTTATATGGTGACAATAATTCATTGGAGATTAATTAGAATAGTCTATATACTTCATTTGCCTTCTTTTGGCAAAGGCTGATGTAAAAATATATAGATGCCAGTAACAAATACATATGCTTTCTGCTTTTGACAAAGGTTATTGTCTTTTTTTCGTGCTCCAGGTTTTCAAAATGATGCTTCTGGGGACAAAAGATATAGACTTGCAAGAATATTATTGATATTATACTTAATGGTTTGGAACAGCAAATTTAATTAACCTCCAATATTAAAAATGACTCAAATGATAAAAAATACAGCTTGAATAATTTCCTGATTTTAAATGTTATGAAAGTTAATATCCTTCCTAAATTTTCAAACTGTGCAAACTTAATCATCCATTGATTATTCATAAAAGCAGGGGAGAACACTAAAATTATATTATGCTCCAAATAACTTCCTAGAAAACGATCAATATTAGTTTTTTCTATTTAGTGCAAGTGGCAACTATAGTCTGTTGACCAACAATTTTGTTTAACCTTTTTATTTTGTAACTGTAAGCTTATTGCCAAATACCAAATTAGTATTTAAACTCCATATATTAAAATATTTTGATTTCAAAATTACTACCTCCTTTCTTGACACATTTTTTTAAGTGCTGAATTAATAGTTAGTGACATGTATTTCCCACATAAGAGCCTCTTTTTAGATTAACCAAGGATGTGACGTTCCTTGAGTTCATAATACTCAGTTTTGCTAGCTTCTTAAAAGTTTGACATAAAGAAGTGAAGTCACTTAGCTTCAGAAAGAAAAAATATAATAAATAGGGCCTCCCCTGGTGGCCCAGCGGTTGAGTGCTGGGCTGCGAAGCTGCCCACGGCCTCTGCAGCACAGTTGGATCCCCAGCCAACCGGCGGGTCTAGGATCCCACATGGTGCACAGACCTCTCCTGTCATGCCCACTGCTCCCCTCAGCAGTGTATTTCATCAGTCTGCCTGTTCTGTTCCCCGCTCTGGCTCTGGTGAATCCTCTCACCCTCCCGCGCTTCTGACTGTACCCAGTGCTTGTATAAATAAATAATCTTTTTTAAAAAAAGAAAAAATATGATAAACAGTGCTGTAAAAAAAAAAGTGTTGTGTTTGTTTTATGAGCAAATTCTAACTAAAACTAAAAAAAAAACAAAAACAAAATAATTCACCTTAAGTAGCACAAACTGCAACAAACTGAAGTAATTTATTTTAATTCTGTGACACATTGTGGAATTCAATCCATTTTCTTCTTGCCCTGATGCAAAAATAATTTCTATGTTGTTCATTCCATATATTTAATATTTATTAAAATTAAACTTTCATTTAAAAAATGTTGCTTTTTTACTAATGTCAGCATTAAGTTTAACACAGTTAACATTAGACGCTTCACTTTTATAGTTAGAACTTGTAACTAAAGCATAAGAAACATATTCAAAAAAGGATTAGTCTAAAAAATATCTTTTAGTTCAACTTTTGAATGCATGTGCCTGATTATATTTGTTTACATGGTAAAAATATCTCCAAAAATTATATGTAAACTAGCTGTAAGAGTAGTTAGCCTAGAATCAGAGGATAATGATATGTATTTAGTAGTTTGCTATATTTTTTTTTCTGTAAGACAATTTAGAGCTTCTAAGAATGTAACATAAACTAATTCTGAATACCTGGATTTAAAACGTGTCTCTGCCACTTGATAAATCAGGGCAAGATAGTTAACACTCTGCTCAAGTTCCTCATACTGTGCAACTATTAAAAAAGAAAAAAAAATAGATGAATTCTTGCCATTTTCTACAACATCAATGGAACTGGAGGAGATTATGCTAAGCAAAATAAGTCCGAAGGAGATAAATGCCTGATAGTTTTGCTCATATGTGGAATATAGAGAAAAAAATAAATAAATGGGTCAGACAAAAACAAACCCTAGAATTCTGACTATAAAATGGAAGTGTCTGAGGGGTGTGTATGGAATGGGGGCTGTAGTGGGAACAAAAGTATGTGGGGGACTCATTAAATAAGGTGGAGGACTATAGGTGCCTTGGTGGTATTTTTCTTGTAGTGTTACTTGCAAATGTTCTGTTTTACTTCTTTTTAGGTCTGTATATTGTAAATTGACTTTGATTCCCCCCCCCAGGGGGATATTGTATTTAACTATGGAATTTAAAATACTCATTTTTATTGCAATTTGTGAAATATGTATATTTATTTTACATTCTTTCCACTTGTTTGCCATCTGGGTCAATTTAGCAATTCAGTTAACCTTTTCTTTTCTTTTCTTTTCTTTTTTTTCTTGTAGGGGAGTGTCAATGAAGTCATTCCCCACTACCACAAATTATGCAGTTTTGTTCCCACACTTTGGGAAATTGCAGGGGTGAGCACATCCAGAGTAAATGCGTAAGCCCTGGGAAAACCACCTTTGTGATCATGGTATCTCCCCTGTCAGGTAAGTGTTCAGTTAACATTTTCTGTTATTCAGAAAACACAAATATCATTCATTTATATTTTATTTGATGTACTATGTTATTTGAAGAACAACTATTCATTGAAATTTGTGCACTTGATTTCTAGTTCTATGATTATCACATTCACATTTCATTTCAATTTTTCTCTAGTCCTAATCATCACATCTCCCAAAAGTTAAAAATTGTGAATTACTTTTTTTTTCTTTTTTTTTTTTCTTTATTTTATCTAAAGCACCTTGTTCTGCTTTTTAAAATACAAGACCTAATTTTGATCAATTGTTACTTCAAAGGAGTCCCATGGAGATAAAGTTTCAACAATTCTTTGAATGTCTAAAAAATGTATTTGCTGAGAATTTTTTTCTCTTATTTAATATAGATATCAATATATATGAGACACATAAAAATAACATAAGCTCTATTATTGAACTTTTAAAATATATGGTAAAAGATAATGCGATGAACACTCAAGTACATATTACCCAGCTTCAATAATTATCAATATTTTAATGATCTTGTTAATTTTATGAATTTCTCACAGATCTAACCACATCTTTCACACAAATTTATACTTTTTAAATTAGCTGTAGTATTCTAATGTAAATCCTGGACATCATGTCATTTCAGCTATTATACCATTCTAAACTCGCATGAATATTTTAAAATATATATCATCATCTTGTCATTTTCATGACTAATAAGATTAATAATACTACTTATTATCATTTGAATACATTTCATATTCAGATTTTCCAAATTACCTTGAAAAGTGTTTTCTGACACATGATCTTTAGAATTAAAATACAAACATGATGTAATACATTGCTTTAGGCATTCTGTTGTTTTATTCATTCTATTACCACTGATCCTTTTGTCTTCCTTTTTTTTTTTTTTTTTACTTATTTACTGTGAGAACTGGATAATCTGCTCTTAGGAAAGATTTACATTCTTTGTGGTATAATTTAACACACTCTTTTGACTCTTTTGCTTCCTTTAAATTGATGTGTGTTTCCTATTGATCACATCACAATAAAAAAAGATAGTCTGACCTGTATTTAGTGGAACTTAGATCATTTTTCAGGTTTAGCTGTGAGTCTGATCACTTCATTATAACAGTAATAGTTTTAGCATCCATTCATGATAGTGTCAAATCTGAAATGACAGCTTTGACTGAACATCAATATCTGAAATAAAATTATTTTCCCCAGGATTCTGTAAATATTGTCAGTTGAATAGGGATAAATCTAATTATCATTATTTTATTTTTTTAGAATAGAGAATTTTTTAGTATATTGTTCATCTCATGGTGTTCTAAAATTCCATCTTTATGTTCATGATGTGGGATAACATGAATAATTTATTGTTACCTTGACATTAAGCTATTTAAGTCTTTCTTCTACTTGTGATTATTTTTTTCCTATTATTTCTTTAAATATTCTGAGATTTTCTCATTCTTCTGCTTCTGGAGATTATCTTTCATGTTTCCCAGGGCCAACTACCAAAATGATCTTCAATTTTATTCACAATAATTATTTTTCATTAATATCTATTATTATTATTCTAATTTATGATATCAAATATTCCTTTAACCCAAGATTATCATTTATCTAGCTATTTATACTTCTTTTTACCATAGGTTTTTATTAATGGCAATAATAGATATTATAAAACATGCTATGATAAATGTTATTTTATGTTTTTCCCCATATAATGTATAATAAGGAACAGGCCTTTGTATTATTTATTTTTGTGTTCTCAACATATATTTTAGGTGTGCTGTCAGTGACTATTCAATATCTGATTAATTTTATTAAAATATAGTATGCGGCCTTGGGTCTCTAAGTAACTAGAAAAAGATAAAGGTAATGTTTATATTGGTAAACTGATAAAGTCAGAACATTTTTTGGACCCTGGAACTTGAGGACAGAGCTTTTACTACTTTTAGATGGGCAGCTAAACTCATGTTTTTGTTTTTGTTTAAGATTTATTTAATTATGCATACAAAAACTGGGATACAGGCCAGCGGTGCTGGGGGTGAGCGTATTCACAAGAGGCAGAGTGGGGAACAGAACAGGCAGATTGACTGAAATACACTGCTGAAGGGAGCAGCAGGTGAGACAGGAGAGGTCTGCTGTGCCATGTGGGTAGCTCCCTGGCCAGGGATTGAACTCGTGCTGCAGTGGCTGTGGATAGCTTCATAGGTTGCATCTTAACCCCTTGTGCCACCAGGGAGGCCCTAAACCCATGTTTTGATATGAGATCCTTCAACTGTTTCTCTCTTAGTCACAAGATAAGAAACCAGTGAAGCAGAAGAAGGCAGGATACAAAATTCAAGTCTTTAGGCAATCCATTTTAACTCAATTCCAGGTTTAGGGAGTAAATTCCAGTTATCTTTTTAATTACACACTAGTAAAGGGGACGAACTCCCTCTGTGTTTGTGTTTTCAAAAACCATTTGAGCATTAAAATAATCATTCATATAATAATACAGTTCCACTCACCAAAGCTAAGGATTTGTGACAAAAGTCTTAAAATAATTTCAAAGAAGACCCAGTAATAATGGTATAGGATTACAAGGGTTTTCTCTTTATTAAGGGTCTGAGAATGTAGCGTAATGACTGTGATTAATGTTATTTTCTGATTAAGGATGAGTTACAGTCATATCCATGGTCTTTTTTTCTTCCTCTAAGAGTCTATAGAAGTGGGGAAGTAGAGAAATAGAACCCTGTAGAGTTTGTCTTAAGATGCCAAGCTACTTGAAGAAGAGATTACAGGATATGGAAAAAATGAAAAGTATTGCTATGCTCTGGAAATACTGCAGCATTCCTTATTGGTGAGGGACATTCTAGTTTCATCAGGATGTATAATTCACCTGATAGGAGAGATAATTCACCAAGAGCTGGGAGAGGAATATGAATTGGCTCCTAAAATATAGTTAAGATTTTTATTGAATGAGAGGAGAATGATGGCCACTTTGGGTGTGTTAAAATAAAAAGACTAAAATATGTGTTCAAAGGAAGTAGTTGAACATTTTAGCCTGAGTGGATAGTATATTTTAGAGTTTAGGGACTTTAAAAAGTTAAATTAGTCTTCATTTTTTAAAGTTTTGCATATCAGACAGACTGGGTACAATTTATTCTGTAGGCAATGGGAAATAACATTTTTTCACAGGGTCATGCACTTGAAGTTGCATTTTAGGAATGTTGATGTAGCAGACATATGAAAAATGAATTGCAAAATGGAAATAGAATGGTCCTTTAAGAAAAGTGGGTCTTAAAGAAGAATGGAAGCTATTGTAGAAGAAAATTTGGCCTGAGTAGGAATAACAGTGTCTTTTAAAATTTTCTAAGTAACACATTCACTGTACAGAGATAACCGTAAATCTGAGGCTGCCAGAGAGAGGGAGAAGGCATAGTGGACCCTGGTGGAAGACTATGGGTGCCTTGGTGCTATATGGGTGCAGCAGGATACACTGAAGAGATGGGATTCTATACCTCTAAAATATATAGTGTTGTAAACCGATATTGTCTTTATAAAGAAATACATAAAAATGATGAAAAATACATTCTTCAATGAGATTTCTATTTTTGGTGTCAAATTAATAAAATTTGATAACTTTAAATTTGAGGTAAAATATTACTAATGAATGTAATTCAAATGACTAGGAGGAAAACTCTTGTGAATAACAGATTCCCTTTCTGTGATATCTCACTGGGTTAGTCAAAAGATATATAAAAGCATGTTCACTCAGCTTCATTAACTGCATGGTCAATACAGACAAGGACGTATATTGTACTAAAGAAATATAAGCTGTTAAGAATTCTCAGAACATTTATGTCAATGTATGTGTCACACTTTTTCTTGATTACAGCTAAATCTTTCCCAGTCCCATTGTCAAAATTGTCATACTTAATTTCCCTAATGCATAGACAATTTTAAGATTATGAAATTATACTGTAATATACCTCTGAATAGTACACTAACAAGAACCACAGATGTATAACAAAACCACCAATAGTTAATCATATGCATAATTCAGGAATTTTTTCCCTTCTTACAAACACTTTTCCCTTCAGTTGAGTCCTGCGATTGATTCATGGTCCATTTTTGTTCGGACTCTTTTGATTTCTATTTCCACCTTTTAGTTAGTTTGGTATCAAATTTTGGTAAAATGTATTATACATGGGTACATATAAATTACATAATCAGATCTCAAAATACATCCTATTCAGTCTACACCTGAATATTTATGATGTTGGTTCAAAATGGAAATTCAAGGACAAAATTTAACCTCTTCTCTGTTTGGCAATTAACATTGAAATTATAAATAAGATAAAAGAGTAGATTTCAATCCACTTTAAACAAATTTAAAGATGAGAGACACAGGTTAGAGTCTTTGATGTACTAAGATTTTTCTCTTTTTGAAGATAAATCAAACTTCAGATAAAATCAACAAGTTCAGCATTCACATACATGAAGGAATTAACTTGTAAGAGAGTTGATAGGCCTCCCAGCAGAATCACAGGTAGCCTAATTATCTGAAAAGCAGAGACAACATGTAAGGGGACCTGTAGAAAAAAAATGTGGGAATAAAGGAAACTTTCAATTATGTGAACACGCTTGGAGGAACCTTCATGTACAACACATTGACACATCAAGGCTCAAGGCTACTTGTTCAAACCTGGTTTCCATTTGGAAGGTATAAAATATAGTAAAGCAGGTTATTGCCATTGAAATCTCCAGTAAAGAGCAGTCTGGCTATGGCTAGTTGAAGAAATGGACACCATAAACCACCTTACAACTGATTATCACAACAAATAGGGGAAAGGGAAATTCTACGATGCTAGCAAACAACCCTACTTTTCCTGACATATTTCTCATCTGCCACAAGTAATTGGAATCACTTACTAAATCAGATTCTCCTGAGACAGCTAAAAGTAGAGGATAAATTTTAATGTAGTTGATAGGTATATAGTTCTGCCCTCCCAACAAA